TCTCCTCGTGGAGATGAATACAATTTTAACCTCGGCAAAATATGTGCTGTATCAAGGGTTCAAGGGCATTATTTTCTTGACAATGTAAGAAAATATTGGTTAAATGTCTAGGAAATTTTCATACACAATTAAATGAATGTAAAAATCTGTTCTTAGAATATTAAACCTTTGAATGCTTAAAAAGTGACCTTAGTAATTTAAGTGTCTTGTCTCTCAACCAAGGGATCATGAGTTCTAGCCCTAATCAGGTCACAACCAAGTTTCTTCATAATACTCTTCTTTTTTTTCAGTTCAATAACTTTTTCTACACTTTTGGCTGAGTGATTTTGGAAATTTGTATTTAAAACAATTTAAATCAACAATGGGCAGTTCAAAATTTAAATGAAGGGAAGATTATAAATTATTATATTTACAGACAGTTAAATTGCCAAATGAACTTTTTTTGTAGTATTTAAACACTTTACCAGCATGGTACAAGCTGAGTTAATTAAGACATTTAAATCAGCCCAGAGACAATCACTTTCTAAGAATACATAAATAATCACTTTCTAAGAATATTATTCTTTTAGAAGTCTAAAAGGCCCATTATGCCTAAAGTTTCCAAACAATACTCATTTGCCCATATAGATGAATTATCGTTTACATCTTTTGCTTTGTTGGCAATAGTTATAATCAGTAATAATAATGAATGAGTATTTTGTATATACAGCACATTACTGAATATTCAGCTCAACTTTCTTCAGTTGCTAAATATATCTAATATGCTCTTAATCCATTATTAAAATATTATCAAACACATGTTAAACATTTCTGAGGAATCAAAAAAATATGGATTTTTGAGGCATAATGTGCCTTTAAAATTAATATTGCAGGTGTTAATTCTTTAACTAGACCTATCACTGAAGGAGATTAATACCCCCACCTGAGCAACTTTGAATTTTTGAAAAATAAGTAGTCTGAAGAAAAATTTGAACTCAACCTATAGTGGATGAAGTATCAAAATGTGTACAAAGTATTATTTCAATTAATTGTAATTCCAACCAGGATCTTCATATAAACTTGCTATACATCAAGTTTGATTCCTGACGGAAACCATTTTCCCTTTTTAAGTAACAGTGACCTTGACTCTAGGGGGTCCAAATGCAATACCAACCGGGGTCTCCACTTAAGCTTGCTATACACCAAGTTTGATTACAATACCTAATTCCTAACTCTAGTTATTGTCCGGAAACCATTTTCCTGACAAAAAACGGTGACCGTGACCTTGATCCCTGAATAGGGTCCAAATGCAATACCAACCGAAGTCTCCACATAAGCTTGCTATACACCAAGTTTGATTACAATATCTCATTCTTAACACCAGTTATTGTCCAGAAACCATTTTTCTATTTTTAGTAACTGCGACCTTGACCCCCAGGAGGTCCAAATGCAATACCAACCAGGGTCTCCACATTAGCTTGCTATAGGTAATAGTTATAGTACATGAAACGTGTTTCTGCTTAAAAATGGAGAGGCCGTTAGGCCGAGACAATTTTTTTTGCAGAAACATCCTAAGATGTCGCCCTAGCCAGTGTTATAGCCCCATAACCAACGAGTTTCATATACTATAACTGTTTTATCTCGATGACATAATTTTTTCTTTTTTTTGTAATAGAAATAAATAAATAAATCGTTAGCTACATTACAGTTATTTATGATAAGGCAGTTTTTTCAAGTTATTTTTGCTGCTGCAAAAAAAAAAATATACAAAAGAGGAGGATTGTAAACTGTTACTAAGATTTATTCAAGATTTAAGGGCTTTTTCAGTGGAAATAATTCATTCAGCAGATGTACCTTTTGATTAAATGAGAGTAAATTTCATTTCCTTAATTATCTTTGTTTATATTTTTCATTGTAGTTATACATGTATATTTATTTTATTTTATTGATTCCATTTTTTTTTTTGCTACTGGGAATGGTCGTTACCACTGCCCCATTGGAGCCTCTATGAAAAAAAAACTGCATTGATATATACAAGGTGCGAAAAAAACTCGACGGATATATGTATCTTATGTAACACACTAGAAGACGAATTTCATTTTCTTTAGAATGCGAATTATATAAAGATTTAAGAATTAGATATATAAAACAATATTTTCGAAAAAGACCGAATATTCCAAAGTTTGTTGAACTTCTTTCCAGCGACCAAAAACAAATAAATACCAATCTTGCCATATACTTATTTAAAGCCATGGAACGCCGTAGCATAGTTTTATATTAAATGTGAGTCACTTTTCCCAACAAAATATATTTTTACATTTTTCTCTTGTGGAAGACTCTATTTTGATATATTAAATAATATTTTTGTATACGTGTGCATGTGTGTGTGCGCGTGCGTGTGTGAGTGTGTGTGCGTGCGTGTGCGAAGTTTAATACTCATGTTTAATACTCATTGTATTTTTCAAAATCTTATTGACGATGACTATAATAGGTGTATAACTGTTTGAAAATTTGAGAAGATTTACATAAAAGCATTTATGATACTGTTGTTCCACCAATCGCCTCTTATAGTTTGCAAAATTATAATGATTGCATGCAGTGATGATTGATATTTTTTACGATTTCATACATTTATGCTGATTTATATAGAACTGGACCGCCACTGATTATTTTGTAAAAACCCTTGTATTATATGTTTGTATATATGTACTCACAGGCATTTGCCTTTTGTTCAATAAAATTATTCATAAATATAAAGTCGAGTTTTTTTCCTATATGAATCAATGAAAAAACTGTACTGTTATATATCAATACAGTTTTCAAATGCTCATTGAAGTGTACTGAGTATAATGGGTTAGTAAGAACAAACGAAAAGTTCCAAACCATGCGATTATCTAAGTTAGATAACAATATCTCATTCCTATATCTAGTTATTGTCCGGAAACCATTTTTCTATTTTTAGTAATAGTGACCTTGACCCCAGGGGGTTCAAATGCAATAACAACCGAAGTTTCCACATAAGGTTGCTATACCAAATTTTGTTACAATACCTCATTCCAAACTCTAGTTATCGTCGGGAAACCACCAAGAAGTGGACCGACCTACAGACCGACAAGCTGACTCCTATATACCCACCCTAAACTTTGTTTGTGGGGGTATAATAATGTTGCTTGGTAGCAGTACTTGGTAGTGTTAAACTTTTCTGTTTCCTAGAAGGTTATAGATTACTGAGTCATTGAACAAAACTGTTCAATTCAATTTTAGGGAGTCTGAGAGATGTAACAGTGTATTTGTTTAAAACAATCAAATTAGATATCAAAGGAACAATAACTGATAATGATGTCAGAAATTTTTGATTTTCTTTGTGAACTACATGGCCTAAAATAAAACAGTCACAAACAAACAATCATATACATTAAACAACACATGCCCTAAAATCTGAAAGTAATATCATCATAATAACATCTACCAATGATATTCATAACAAAAAACTCAGTCATGTTATCAATTCATCAAATATTTCTTCTCATACAGTATTTAATTTGTTATATATGACACCATATAGACAATATAATGATTTTCCTACATTCCACAAATAGCGCTATACCTCACACCATGCCATTCATAAGAATACCTTCAATATTATCACAGTTTTGATTTACCCACCTTTACTTCCTTACAAAAATTACAAAACACTGCCAATGATGTAACAAAGTACTACTTCCTATAACCCTTTTTGAAGACCAACACCACCACCAACAGGCAGCTGTGGCAGGAGACAAGGGTATTGTAACATGGGAACACTTATTTCAAGGTAAGGAAATATTTTACACTGGCAAACAAAACTGTACAAATTAGGTTTGACATGTTTGATTGGGTTTTTTGTTAACGACACAGTATAGTTCATATGGAGACGTTCCAGCTTTACTGGCAGAGGAAGACCTAAGGCAAGTGGGCACCTAAGTAGAACCACTGACGTTCTGTCAACGACCTTAACCACTCGGCCACAGATAACTCAGTCAAAGAGACATTGTACATTATCAAGGACGTGCTTTAAGACTTACTTCACAGAAACTCTCTGTTACAAGACTAGCCAATACAAGAACTGATTTTCTGAAGATTCAAACGTTATAATATTTTGAGAATTTTTTTAAACATTTTTTCTAGTTTCAAAGCACACAATGTGAAGGTCATTTGGCAATTTTCAAGCTTTTGAGAAGTGGATAAAGACCTCATGTGCTTCTTTTTTGCATCATTTCAGGAGGTAACTGAGTCCAAGGTAAAAAACACCTTTTCTTAGCTCAAATTCTTAAGTATTTGATTGCTCAGAAACCAGCACAGAATATATATTGACCATTGAAAATCCTTAGACTACAGACAAAACTTTGACCCTAATGCCTTAAGTCTGGAGCCATAGAAAAACCAACAATCCATATGCGAAACAGGATAGCTTCTACACATGGATATAATCTCATGATAATAAACCATCAGCAGAGAACAGACAAGTGATTACAAATCAAAGACTTTTACCACTTGTACATACAAGTACATACAAGTACCTGTAAATTAACTAAATATTTAACTTCTTCTCTCTTCCCCTCTGGGCGTGCACGTTGCAGAGAAAGCACAGGGCGACGGAAAATTTGCGACTTGGTGGAACTAAAGCACCCATACTTTGGTACACCATCTTTATTTACTACTGGAAAACAGTTGTCAATGTCTTGACTTAAGTTGAAGGGAGTGCCATACAAAGCAGGCAGAGACGACGAGGAAAGTGTGCTACTTTGCGTGAACCCCTTGCACAGAGAGTGACGGCTTGAAAGGCAGGCCCTTTACATGGCACCACCAGCTCTTTTATTGGCTACCTCCATTTCTAATATCGTCTCAAGTTACTGTACATTTAGGTTCTCATTGACCATGACCTACTTTTGACCCAAAATTCATATCTATGGCCAATATTCCCTGGAAATTGCATGGAGGTAAACTGAAGTATAGAATACATACATACAAAAAGAACTTACTTTTGTTTTTTCATTGCCTCAGTTGGGCCACTTGTATTACAGGTACATTTTACAGGTGGATTATCGGTACAACAGTCTGGTTCATCCTCGTACTGTATACCTAGATGTCTCCGCTTCTTTCCTTTACCCTAAAATATATATACAATTATACATGTAATATACTAGACAGAATTCCAAATAAATCTTAGTTTTTAAAGCAATACTTTCAAGACATAACATATTGAGCACAAATGGATAATTACACTGTATTCAACCAAGTTGTTACAGAAAATTGTGTCTAGTAGTAAGGACCAAAACTTACAAATACAAGGTCAAGTAACCTTGCACTTGGTTCATACTGTACAACAAAACACTACATTTCCTGTCATGAGCTTATAAAGCAGGCTCATGTTTAAAAAATTATCTAGCTAAAATATATTAAACAAATACCTTATAACATTAATACTGTTTGTTTGGTTTGGTTTTACGGCACACCAACACAATTTAGGTCAAACTGGAAAGATGATTTTTAGCTATGGCGGTTGATAAAAACTTAAAGCAGCACCAGGGGTCAAAACCACCTCACCTGCTGAATTTAAGAGATGCATAGACTTCAGTAAGTCAAACCCATTTAGTTGCCTCTTACGATCACACAAGGATAAATGGTAGCTGCAGTTCTGATACCTCAACCCTTAAAGGTAACCCCTCAGCCACATTATATTAAGTAAAACTAGGGACTATACTGACATACCAAACCATTGCCTTCCATTTCAGAAATAAACTCCAAATTTTTTCAATGCTCGAAAATAAGATAAAAGTTTCAAAAACTTAATTCATGATTTCAATTCTAAAGATAATATTCCCTCATTCAAAGTTTAGCTGCTATAAGAAAATTTCAAGCAAGTACGATCCCATTATTTGTTAATTAATAACAAGTTACTTTGTCTTTGCTTTACTTAGTCTTTGTCGACAACTCACCTGTCCTATGATTGGTGTTCTTATCTTAGCTGAAGGTTTAAAATCATCATCATCATTATCATCATCTCCTTGTCCATTCATCTCCTCATCACTAACATCTATAACTTTGCCACCTTCGGCTGAAAAACAATGTTTTCCCAAATGTAAAATTTCATAAATTTAAACAATGACAATCTTTCAGTAAAAAGTATACTATTAACCCTTGATCAACTGAATTTGAGTAATGTAAAAATTTCGTCCTGGTTTTTGTAAAACAGGATGTATTATGGAAACACCCTGGCGGGCCGACGGATGAACACCTTCCAATTTTGTCAGGAGCATATCTCCTACACGCATAGAGAGATTTTTATGAAACTTCAAAGAAATGGTCACCACTATGAGAAGCCATGTCGCGCCATCTAAATCAATATCAAAATACAAATATTGAGCTAATAATAATATAGTCTAGTCATGTTTTAAAGAGATTCGGACTGTTGCACTTTAATAACAAGCTTTGTATGCATTCCTTTTAAACTCTAACATGTCCAGAAAGAATGATTATCTGAGAAAAAAACAGTTTTTTTCTCCAATAAGCATTAAACAGACCAAACTCAAAGACAGAAATATAACTTATGATTCATGCAGTACCTTTATTTGTGTAGCCAGATTTGGACTCGGGTGAATATTCTGTAGATCTCCCAGCATCAGAGGCACGACACTGGCATGGTTTACTACAGCCAACTATATAATATAAATAACAACACAATGATTACAAAATAATATGTATACAAAATAATATACGAGATGCGTCATGACAAAACCAACATGGTGCGTTTGCCACCAACATGGATCCAGACCAGCCTGCGCATCCGTGCAATCTGATCAGGATCCATGCTGTTCGCTTACAAACCCTAATACAAGTAGAGAAACTGATAGTGAACAGCATGGATCCTGATCAGACTGCGCGGATGCTGGTCGCAATTGCACTCTGTTGGTTTTGTTGTGACGCGGCTCATATCTTAAAGGACACTGAGGTCAAAAAGCCTAAAAATATTAAATTTGAAATTCTTACATAGATCAAGACTTAATGAAGCACATAAATGTATAAATCCGACAAAAGTTGTAAAAATTTATTCGGAATTAAATTGAATATCAAATTTTTGTGTGACTCTTATCTCAATTTGAGTGAATAGTGTTGCAACGCTTTTCATTTATTATTTATAATGATTATTCTGGTAAAACAGGGTGAGAGAATGATCTGCAAAATGGCACAAAAGTTTTTTGGTCCAGTCCTACATCAAATTGTACATCTTGGAAAAAATATATCCAGTCCCATCATGTCAAGAAACCTCAGTGGAGTTCCTTTAACATGGGGAAGGAAACAAAATATAAACTTGCTTATATTTCAAAAACCAGCAGCTAGAATGTTTCTATACTGTGATATATGGAGTGCTTTTAATTATCTCTTCTATCACTGGATTATTATTACCTGAATCAGCATTCATATTTTCCTTGGTTATTTTCTCATTCTGTGCTACCTGCCAGGCCAATGCTGAACACAGCAGAGCTAGACTTTTACCACTTCCTGTTGGGCTCTCCAATAAACTGTTCTGTTTTCTCTCCAATCCCTTGATCACCTGTGAGTAAATTGAAAATGAAAAATACATTTATTTACATTCACGTATATAATATATGAGTAATTAACCTATATGTAGCTACATTAATAACTAGCAATTAAAGTGTAAAATAACTATGTAAAAGATGCTCTAAAATCAATGCATAAAATCTATATTAGTGTCCATAAAGACAGCATTAATATAAAAAAAAATTAAAGAAGACTTGCTGTATATCTATAGTACATCTTTACACTTTATCAGTTCTCTACAAGTGAATATAAGTACAATATACTTAAATCATAAGCTTTAGTATAACATACATTGTGTTTTTTTTTATTATTATGGCTTTGGTAAAGTATAAGATCTTGATTAGCACTTTACTTTTTATTCTTCCTTTCTAGACCAAATTAAGTAACAAATTATGAGTAAACAATTTCAGTATATATTTAATCTTCAAGAGAGAGGGAGAACATTCACAAATAATTCAAATTACAAAACACAATTTATGATATAACTTACTCTATCCATCATACCAAACTGAGAGGGATAAGGTTTGCATGGAAATATCACCTTGACCCCACTGATGGTCAGTTTTCTTTCATCAGGGCTAGACATCTTTCTATAGTTTACTTATTAGTCAATACCAAACCTGTTAATCGAAAAAAATGTTTAAAAAATCATTCTGAATAAATTTGCACACATATCAAAGCCAACAAAGGCTTTCTTAACCTACTTCACTGTTCTAACAATTCGTAGTTGATTTATTTTATATGGATTTGGACCATTTGCCAGACAGAAACATGTACCAGAATTTTTTTTTCTTTTTTTCAGCTAGTCAAATTTTATTAAGTCATATTCATAAAGTTCCTATCCTTATATGAGACTGTTGTGCACAATTGGTAGTTTTCTATTCTTTCCAATTTTGTCATCAGTTTTAGTGATGTTTAGTGATGACATCATAAAATCGGTAAATTTTCTTGTGTCAAACATAGTCTCTCTAGATCGCACAAAAGAGTGAACTTGCGGGATATAAATTCCTGATGCAGATTTTAATTGGAGATGTCATGGCTTCCTCTCCATTTAAATATACACATGTAGGTCTGTGCAAAAATTGAATAAGCATCTTAGTCTCAATATTTTAACTGCAACTTAGTCTGAAAGTAGGCTAATTGCAAGACCAACCGATTTTACAAACTGACATTACATTGATGTCAGTCTTTATGTGAAGAAAGGCCATAATCTATGTAATAAAAAGCCCTTGCGCACAATTTGTTGGGTTAATGTAGTCCAATAAATTGGACCTTATGGGCTTGTTATAGCGAGCTCGACGAGATGGCCCGAAGGGCCTGCTTGCAAAGCGAGCTTTACGGTAACGCGAGTACCTGCTAAGTGATGGTTTTGAAAACTTTCGTCCTAAGTACCGAATTGGACAGATCGCAACATTTCATTTACAAGATAACGATAAAAGCCGATGTATTCTGATTGAAAACGGAAGCGTAGACTGATGTCCTGCGCACTTATATTGACCTTTTCGAAAACCTAGCTAAACACCGTTTTCCGGTACGTTACCGTTTTAGCTCTGGGGAATTACACCAAATGAAATACATAACACAGTTACGTGATATTTCTATTTTTCTATCATTATTTAACCGTTTAAGGTGAAAAAAATGATGTTTTTGAAAATTATCAATATTCCTTTAACCTTTTCCCTTATATAAGCGTGTTTCGACGGCTTTTTGCCCCCCCCCCTTTTTTGAGGCCTCAAACAGTGAAAAAATGCCCTATTTAGGCCCCAAACACTGTCTTTTGTTTGAGAAATGTTGTTAAAAAAAGTGACCATTTTTTCGGCGCCGTCCCCCATCCAAATATTACATCAGGGGGTTGCCAGAAGGGGGATGTGCCCCCTTCTGTTTGGGGGGTTTGAAGGGGGCGGAGTCCCCTTCATCGCCAAGAAAATTTTGGACTTGTGAGAGGCTTTAAATGACCCCAGGTCGATCATAAGGTAACGTGTAACCAACGCTGAAAAGCCTTTGACTCTATCTCAATCCCTTGAGAAGTTGCAGCACTTTGAAAGAAATTTTGATGGAAAAATTCGAGGCAAAAAAGGGATTTTTGGCAATTTTGAGATGTCCCCTCGTTGCCATGGTAACAAGAAATTTAAGACTGAGCATGTCGTTACAAAGGCAATGGTCCAGTCAACATTTGTGCCAAGTTTGATTAGTATTGAAGCATTTTTCATAGTTTCATAGCAGTTTGAACTTGTAACAGGAGGCTTTTCAGTGAAAATGGCCATTTTTCACAATATACTCATGGGGGAAAGGGTTAATATCTATTGCAAATTATTCAAAAAAAATAAATTATTTTTAATGAAAATCAATAACATTCAAACAGACGTAGTGGAATCCTCCATAATAAATAAGGTTATTTTCTGCGTAAACTTGTGTATTTGCTTTATTTTTTGTATGGAATTATTCATACAATGATATTTAATTATTTTCTTATAAAGAAAATCTGTTTTATTTCAAGTTAATTTAAAAAAAGGCCGAAAATATTGAGTTCGCTATTACACTCCATTAGGTGAATTCCCCAGAGCTATGTACAGAAAGTACCGAATTCGTGAATAGGAACCATAAATTATTAATAGAAAGGGGAACCAGAATAAACGGAAGCAGTGTATAAAATACCGAATGACAATTTTAAAACGGAAAATGTAAAATAAAAATGAACGATTATTTTAAACTTTCTTCTGGTAAATATAAGAAAATAATTAAATATCATTGTATGATTAAACTGGCTGGTAAAAGAAAATCGAGCCCGCTTTTAGGCTTTGCCTTTTTCATATTAATGTTGCTTTGCCAAGAAGAAAAAATATCTCAAAGCAAACCTCATATATATACCTGTAGGATACCTGTAGGATGATTCTGGGCTCTGATGGAAGGGCCAAGCCCTTTTTAGGCCCCTCTTTTTTGACAATCTTTCAGTACTTCTTCTTATTGCTCTCACTACTTCTATGTTTAATTATATATACTTTTATCTATTTCTGTTCACTCTGCTATACAATTATAACAGCATAATTGTCAATTAAAGTCCGTGATAAGGCCTAAAATACTATAAATTTGCCTTATTAATCTTAGTAGAAATATGTTTGCTAAATTTAAGATCTTTTTCAAAAATAACTCCTAGATCACATTCTTCTTGAGTATCCGATAAAGTCTTGTTATTCATAACATACTGTTTTTGAGGATTTGCATGACCATAATGCATCACCTTACATTTATCAACATTAAAGTTCATTTCCCATTTTACTGCCCAGTTCATAATTTAGTCAATATCATTTTGGAGGACATCCGACTTGCTAGTTGGTGTATACAATTTTGTATCATCAGCAAATATTTTAATGCTTGATTTGACATTATCTGTGATATCATTCACATACATAATAAAAAGTACCGGCCCCAACACACTACCTTGCGGCACTCCACTATCCACTGCTTTCCACAATGACGTACTACCTTTAATTGATACACACTGTCTTCTATTGCAAAGAAAACTTTTTATCCACATCAATACATTTCCCTTGATTCCAAAAGATGACACTTTATCAGGGTTCCCTCTGGGTCAAAATTAGTTTGCGCCACCAAATTCGCCAATCAGAAAAAGTTGGAGCCAATGGCTCCAAAGTTGGAGCCAATATGGAGCCAGTAATTCTGCAAGGGAGACATGCCTATCTTTAGCAGTTATATATCATTAAAATTAAAAACACATATTTATAATGTTTCATTTTATTACAGATGCACATGTTTATTATCTAAAATATAGACATAGTATTATGTGGTTTTCATATTCCATTTGAATAAATACATGTGACATTATAAATGTAATCAAAAACATCATTTTAAGTTATAAGTGAGGTTTGGAGGTCCTGTTTTCCACCGTTTTGCCTATAGCAGTTCTTATCACTTATTCATTCTCACTGACTGGACTGAGCCATTATCTTTCCAGCTTCTTCCCGACATTCTGGTGATCTACAGATACAAAATTAAATCAAAGTGCTGAAAGCACTGATGGGGGCGCAATATGTGCTAAATTCGAGATGTATAGCAATCTACTTTAGGTGTTCCAATCTGATATCATTCTTCTTTCAAAGTTGAATAAGTGCCCATTTTGTACACAATATTATAGTATCGCTTCCAAACTCTTGTCAAAATTGAAAATCATGTACATACTAACAAACCCAGGCAAAATGCATAATTGATATCATATATATCATGAATAAACATTTTAAATTATGACATTGGATTTTGTTGGGAAACTATAGTTGCTTAACCAATTTTCATGTAAAGTACTTCCTTATGTGAATGTATAACACATAAATCAGTGTACTTACTATATTTATTCCAAGAAATGATTATGCAGATAGAAAATAAACAGAAATTTAACTGTCTATAAAAATATTTCTAAAATAAAAACCAGGACTGTAAGAACAAACTTATTTTTTGTAGAAACCTTTCAAGCACAATAG